AAGAGAAGACTGATTCAAAAACTAATCGAATATGTTTGACATTGTGAAAGATATTCTGTGCCGTCCTACAGCTATTTTTAAAATGTTGCGCTGCCTGCCCTGTACACCTAGTGCCGAATAGCAGTTGAGACAGAAATAAATCACTTTGCGGTTATTAATTAACACATCAAAGGGAGCGCTTGGTTTAATGCTGAGAATCTTACTGCTAATGCAAACACAGCAGAATCATTGTCATGTGAGACTGAGATCATACAGGGATCTAAATCACACTCACAAAACGATTCATCATGCAGCCCTAATTACCAGTACCTCTAAAGCTCACATCACATTATCACATCATATCTTGTTTGTTTCATCCATAAACAAAAATCGACATATATCTGACTATTTCTTGGTCACGAGGTCATATGTTTTTCCCAAAATGTCAAAATATTCCTTTAAGTTCTATAACACACAGTCAACAGGGCTAGTTTCTATTTCTTGTATTTCAATTATGAAGTATTATGAATTGTCCTCAGGATGGAACATAAAGAATAGTCCTTATCATCATAATCCTAATCATCTTCACTGGTTAAAGGTAGGGGAGGCGATTCCTTTTCATAAACATTTTTTGTTACATACCTTGAAATTCTCTTTTCATCCCGATGGCAATGAATACATTAAATGCACAACATAGAGAAACAAATCTATCGTCTCTGGCAGCAGCAGGGCTGAAAAAAGCCTGACTAAAATTTTACTTGGCATGAGCAAACCACTGAATGGGCTACCTGCCTGTCAACCTACAGTACTTCCTAGTGCATTGAGTGCACTTGGCCTGTGCAAAAAGAAGTTGAATGCTGCAAGAAGTAAAACCAGAGCTAACATTTGCATGGCTTCTGAACGATGGCGACAACTGAGAACAAATGGGGCTGAAAAGTGGTGCCATGCTGGCCATGTTTCTGCTGGACAGGTAATTATCATCTTGGTTTTGTTGGGGGTGGGGGGTTGTTATTTTCCTGAAATCTGTAAGTAGTAGTCAGGCAGTACACGTTGCAGTGTTTTGGAGGACTGGCTTTGGAGAGAAGTTGGAACGAAAGGGTGGGATTTCTTCTGTTTGCTGCTTTGAAAATCAAGCTTCCTCTTGCTGGTTTTTCCAGGATCGCCAACCCTACCTTTAACATGATATATTGATCTAATTATATTGTTTAATAACTGCTTTTAGACTAGACTGCTTTTTCGAGTCAGCTGATTATAAAAAACAAAATCACAAGCATAAGGCTTTGTGAAGCCAGAAGAGAAAAAAAAAATCAAAATTTCACACTAAACTGATGTTCAGTAGTGTTAGTAGTAAGAGTTAAGACTTTTGAGTCAAGAGTTTTGTGTCATTATTAACAGCAATCTACTATCAGGCAACATCCCCTCTCACTGACAAAAGCGAGTCATGGCTTAAACTTGAAATCAGAAGAAATGTAGCGGCAATAGGTTTTCCACCAAATTACACGACATACTCCTGTGTGGCTGACATTCACGTGATTGTCAAGTCCAGCCGATGAACTGTTTTTGCAGTGATTTCAGAGGGCAAAAGCACCGCCAAATGCTATCTACGAACCAGGCAAGCAGACCAAAACAACACAAGGTCATATTTTCCCCAGAGAATCATGTACATCTAGGCCTCATCAGGTCTAGAGTGGAGGTGAGTGGTATGGTGTCACGTAGTGGGGTGCAAGGCTAACCTGTTCTTATTGTGAAATGAAACTTATGGTGTCCCACAGTAGTAGAAAGGAAGGCAAACTCACTGTTACCTTTGCCCCTTAAGTGGCCTTATACTTGCAAATTGATACTGACAATCTAAAAGTGTTTGGTGATACTGAAATTGTAGTTCCTGCACCCAAGACATCACATCAGTTGTAACACTCTCACTACCTGGTCATTACTGTGATGAGGTAATTAATCCAGTGTGTCATAGCACATTCACTGACACAACGTTGTGTAATACATCTTAAACAGCTAGCAGGCCATCTAGCCTAAATACAATCTTCTGCTTAATCCAGGGACAAAGTTTGAGTATTGCTGATTCTCTGCTCCATGTTTTAGCCTTTATCTTTATGCCTAAATCACACATAACAGGACACAGAGAACAAGAATGACAAGAAGAAGGCACGACAGCTACACTTCACATCACAAAGCACCCACAACAGCTACATGCATCTCACTGAGAAAGATAGATAAAGTATAGCAAGTGTTTATAGAAAGAGTTTACAAACTAGTCTCTGTGACAGGAGCCGTGATTGGTTGATCAACCTGACTCCCTTCTTCCTCCTCCTGTGTGCGTCTACTCTTCCTCCTGCTCCTCCTCATCCTCTCTTTGCTGTTCTGCTCAATCTCAGTTCTCTCTTCTCTAGCAGATGGTGTTGATGTGGTGGTGCTGGTGGGGGTGGAGGTAGAGGTGCATGAAGGGCGGGAACTTCTAGAAGGTCTAGATGGTTCTGACAAGGAAGTGTTCCTGGTAGTGCTGAGGTTGCAGCTCTCTTCATCCTCAGTGGGTAGTGTTTTCCCCTCTAACTTTGTTTCAGCCTGCTTGGGAATGGTTTGATCCAAAGGGTTGGCTACCTGCTTACTGACAGACCTTGTTTTAAAATTTTTTAGGACCACTGCAGTTTTTTTCCTCCTTGTATCATGTGTGCTACTTCTACCCTGAGTTTTCACTAAACTGTATCGGTGGTCAGTGCTGGCTCTGCCTTCAGCAAGCTGTTTATTACCCCTGAAGGTTTTAATGCTTCTATCACTAACCACAGATTTGGTTCTAACTTGCTTCTGCTCCTGGGAACAAGAGGGGTTTTTAATAACTTTCATTATTGGGATTCGAGATTTTGGAAATAAATTGTCAAAAGAGTCTAATCGTTCTCCATGTATAAGCACCGCATGTTTACTAACCTGGAATTTATCAACATTTTCTTGTGCCTTGTCTCTCACTATTGATTGACTATGATTGCATAGCTTGTGGCTGGGCACTCTCACTGGTATCCTGGACTTGCATATCTGTCTTTTGACCTCTTTGGCTCCTGTGTTTGTTATTGCTATATTAGTACAATCCTTGCCTTCCCTGCTGGTCTTCTCTAGCTGATTGAAGGATGCTTCTATCCTTCTGACCTCCTGTAGTCCAGAGGACAACAAGTTAAGCACAGCACTGCCAGCCTGAATTGCATCTGAATTGATGGGGATGTTGCTACTTATATTGCTCATTTGTCGTGAAGGTGCAGAAGAATGATCTGTGCTTTGGTAATAAGTGTTCTGCTTCTCTGAGGTCCAGTCTACATGGTCTTGCTGTTCAGATGTACCTGAAGGAATTCTGTGATGACAATCTGTGATGCCTGATGGTCTGTTATTCAAATCTGTCATACCTTGTGAAATAAAATGATGATAATCTGTATAGTGTGGGGTGACAGAACTACTACCTACAATTGTTCCGGAGACTATGTCATTAAAACAATGAAAGGTTCTACAATTAGAACTGATAGTTGAAGCCTCAGATGTTTGATCTGATGACAACTTAAATCCTGTTCTAAATGTGGAAAGTTTATGCTGAATGCTGGAGGTTGAATCGCTGCATGTGCTGTACCTGCCAGCCAGATTTGATGTTTCTAGCTGGACAGTAGTAGTCTCTGTGGAGACTTGAGGGATCGTTAAAGTATCTTTGGGATCCTGAATATTAAACTGATCCCTGTGTTGTGAAGAGGCATCTACCTTTGAATCTCTGACCCTGTACCTGCCCGCTGAGTAGTAATGCTCACCGATCTGAAAAAACTGGAGCCTCTCCTCCACCATGTCCCTCTTGCTCATGTCAATCGCACCACTGCGTGTCATCTCAAACATCTTCCCTTCATGGAAGGGGAATGGGTTTGGCTCGCTCGTTGGCGTGCTATCATCCGTTGGTGTTCGGGCTGGGGTAGTGTCTGGCGTTGTGGCCTGAGACTGCTCATCGACTGCCAATCCAAAGGGTTTAGGCTCACCATTGCTTCTCTGTGTCCCTCCTGTGTCAACGACTTCTTCTTCTCCACCTTTACTAGGCCAGGGATCAAACTCCAGCCCTTTAGTGGCAACAGTCTTAAAAGTAGAGTTAAACTCTTCTTCTAATTTATAACTAAAGTAAGTGTCTGAAAATCTCTCTTTATCTGAGGGTTTTTGTTCCTGACTTTTAACTTCATCTTTACTAACACCATCAGATTTTCCACCATTTGAGAGGGTATCTTTTTTATAAGTGTCTTTTTGACATTCCTCTGAGGTTTTCTCCTCTTCTATAACTTCGAGTTTGGTCTGTGGAAAAGAGCGGTCAGTGGACCTAAACATGTCTGTTGCCCAGACATCTCTCCGGCTGTCTGGAAGACCAAACAGCCGTAAATCTGCCTGCTCACACAGGCCATCATCTTCATCCTGAAGTTCATATCCATCTAGGGAATCTATTTCTGTTGCATCTGTGTCATGGGAAAATTCAGCTGTTGTGGCTAATGAACAATCTGTTATTGATTGGTCATTTCCATTTTGTTCATACTCATTGTCCTCTCCTTTGCCATTAGAAGCTTTAGAACCACTGGAACCATTGGTCCCACCATGTGGCTCTTTGTTGTTTCCATTTTTGTCATGTTTTTTGGATTTAGTTGCCTTTTCTTTCTCTTTATTCCTTTCTTCCTCTTCTTTCTTCCTTTGTTCCTCTTCAGGAACTTTGAAAGTAAATTTTTTACAAGGAATTGGTTGGAAGATTGACTCATCTTCCTCCTCTTCTTCTGCCTCCTCGGCATTTAGTTGACTGTCATCTGCACCTGCATTTACCGGGGATGGAGGCTGGATACGTATAATTGGCTCGATCAGCAGATGCTTGTCTTGTTCTTCCTGTAAGTTCACTTCCATCATTTCTGTCTCAGTCTCTGAAGAGGCACAGGAACCTTTTCTCTCTGGGTCTGAAATTTCTGAAGCCGAGTCCAGAGGAGGAGGAGGAGGGAACTCAATATATGCAATACCTTTGTCTTTTGAGACCTCCTGCTGCTCCTCCCTTATTATTTCATCAAGCCTGCCACTGACTGTTGTTTCTTGCTGGTTGAAACCATTTGTTAATTCTTGCTGATTATCATTTATTTCTGTTTCTTGCTTATTAGCATTAACAATGTCTATTTGGGTGACAGGAATACTAGTTTTGCTTTCTGTCAGTACCTCTTTAAAAGTAAAAACCACATTGCCTTGGTCATCTTCCTCTGATTCCTCAGATACTTCCATGATGGGACTGGGTTTCCCTGGCATGAATCCCATAAAGCCATCAGGGGTCCTAGAGGTCAGGTCATAGCTGACCTCCTCAGAGCTGGGTGTCTCGGGTGTAAGGGGGCTTTTCCCTGAGCTGTCTATGAAGGAGACCTGTTCTAGAGTGTCATCATCAGGGCTAATGGGGCTAAGTGCTGAGTTTGATTTCTGTTTGACTGTGTACAGTGCTCCTTTGGCTTCCCTCTCTGCCTGCCTGCCCAACTGGACACCAACGTAAACAGGTAATGTTTTGATGCCTTTGAAGTTATCTTTGGTTGTTGCAGTAGTTGGAGGGGTTATGACTTTCTCCAGAATTTCTCTAGGGCTGGGAAGATTATTGGAATTTGAGTCTTTGGGTGCATTATCTAGAATTTCAAAAGTTAGATTTTCATCAGTTTTTGTTGGGCTTGTCTGTATTTTGGTCTTTGATAATGCAGGTATCTGTGAGGGTTTAGTTGCTGGCACTTTCTTTGTGAGGTCATTATCTAAAGTAGAAGACAATGTTCTTACAGGAATTTGAGATTCTATCTTTTTTCTGAGGTTTTTGTTTAGCGGTTCCTCACTATCTTTATTGCATATCTCAGCTATTACTTTTTTGGAAGCAAACTCACTTTTTGTAACTTGTTGGTGTTTTTTAGCATCACTATCTTTCTGCTGTAGTCTAGTAGTATCATGACCAATAGGTGTCTGAACCTTCTGACCCTTGCTTTCCTTAATTTCCTGAGGAACACTAGGATGGATAACTTTCCCTTTAGTAGATGCTTTGTCAGTCTCAGTTTCACTTCCAGCCTCTGGGCTGGTTTTGTTTGGTGGCATGTCTCCTGTATGTTTTGGGATTTTAGATATCGGTATCAAAGCAGGCTTACTGCTGTCTTTGGCAGCACATTTGTCCTTCTCAACATCATTTTTTGGACTTCCTTCTACTGATGTTTCAGATGCCTTTGGTGCTTTTCCTCCTGCAAAAAACTGATAAACTGGAAGTTTGCTTTCCTGTAGTTTCTTTATTGAAGGTTTTGGCTGCACTGGAGGAGGAGTTTTGGTAGGACTTGACTGATTTTGTTTCTGAGCCTCCAATTCAAACTTCATTCTCACAGCACTGACTTTGGATGTTGATTTTACATGCGTGGGAGAAGAAGGTTCAGACTCACTGGTCTTAGTTTGTTTAATTTTACTCTCACTGATTTGAGAGTGTGTGCTTTTCTGGGGACTGCTTGGTAAGCTAGAGCTTTTCTTTTCAGTTGCTGTGGTAGTGCCAAACATTTTACTGACTGAAGGCTCCCTGAGTTTGCTTGTACTGATCCCTTCTTCTCCCACCTTAGGTTTATGCTGTGTTTTCTCGGGGCTACTGCAGGCTGAGCTAGGCCAGGACCTGGGTTCTTTTGGGTCTCGTTTCACAGGCTTTTTCTCAGGGGACTGCAGCTCATCATTAAGCTTCTCTGTTTTGTCACGGAAGAACTGTGATACCTCACTGAGCTTTTCTTCTGCTTCTTTTACTGTTTGGTCTACCCTATCCTCATAAAGCAGCTTATCCCTGCTCCTGTCATGTTTATCCTCTGTAAATCGCATCCAAACTGCATGCTTGGGGCTGCCCTGTTCTGTGGAGTAATGGAGCACTGTCACCTTATCAAACTGAGATGGTTCATCCCTGTGCAAGAATTTGCCAGATTTAGGAGACCCATCTTTTGATGACTTTGAAACAAATTCTCGTTTTGGGCTTCCCTTCTGCTGACTCATGCTCTCAGTGCTGCAGCTACCACCCTCCTCAGAAACTAGGCGGTGCTTCTTTTCAGTCACCATTGCTGAATCTTCTGTGTCAGAGTGAGACACTGATGATATATCAAGTTTCTCTGACAGTAGCATTTTCTCAGCAAACCTATATGACTCGCCTCTGATCTCTGACAGTTCATCATCACAGTATTCTATGGAGTGCTGGCTCAATAGTTTCAAGGCTTTATACGAATCATCTGCTATTAGCTGGGCTGAGCTTGGGCGACTGTCCTCCTCCTGTGACACTGGGGTGTTAACGCGAGATGTCTCCAGGTAGGAGGGCAGGGATTCTTCAACAGTAAGCTCTTCTTCTTCCTGTTGGGCCTCGTCGTAATCAGTAAGTTCTTTAATTCCACGGTCCCCTTTGTAGACATAAAGCTCAGGGTGTTTTTTGGTTTCCCTGATGATGACCTCGGTTGGCTCTGCTGTGCTGTGGCCCTTTTCAATGTGAACCTCGATTATCCTTTCAACTTTGGGTTTGGATTTAATGTCTCTGTCTAGAAATCTCGGAGTCAGCTCATCACCTTTGATAGAATCTGGGCTAGCCGTGTGTTCAAAAAGGCCTGCCAGTTCTTTAGATGGGTCCCTACCTGTTTGAAAAGCTTTCATGATGTCTCTGACTGACATAGCTTCCTCTATCATCTCTGTGCCATCAGTCAGTTGGGGCTTGTGATAGAGCATTCTAGTAGTAGTAGTAATGTGAGTTTCCTCTTTAAGACACATGCTTTTATTCATAATAGAGTCCTCTTCTGGTATTTTCATTTGCAAGGCCTTGGTGGAGCTCCCTGAAACTGCATCTGGCTCTATAGAAGGAAGAGCAGATGCCGCCTCTTCCACGACTAGAGGCTCACAAGGATCATCAGGCTGCTCAAAACTCCTAATGTGGACTACGTCAGTCCTGGTCTCAGTTACACAGGGAGGGATGGGTGAATCTGTAAACAAGGGCTTAGGTCCTGTACTCTCTGCACTCTGAGGAGCAGAGGGTGTCTTTTCACTCCTTGTCTCAAACCCACTGTCTGACAGAGGACTCTTATCCTGCTCATGAGACAGGTCCTCGGGTGATTCCAAAATAGTATCTGTCCCCTGATATGACTCAGCAAGTTTGCTTAGGTCCTTCTCTGAGGGAGATCTGAGCATGCCTGAGACTGGTGGGGGCATTTTGAGTTTGTTCTCTTGTATGGACATAGATGGTTTGAGAACACGTTTCTGTTTTTCATCCCCTTCCCATTTTACCTCTTCTTCCTCAAACCTACATTTCAACTCTGTCATTTTGGAGAGAGAGCTAGCACCAATGTCATTGGTTAAAAAATCTAGTACTTTAGCCAACTCTAGGTCTTTGCTTGTCATGGATTGGTGTTTTAGAAGAAGTATGTTTTCATCAAAAGTAGGGTAATAATCTGAGAGGGCATATCTTTGTGCCTCCTCAATCTCATCTTTAGAAAATTCCTCCCATTCATCTTCTGAGGTTCTCTCTCTAGCTACAATGGCCTTACCTTCACTCATGACATCTTTCTGTAATATCTCACTTACTTTAACCAAATCTTCTTTCACTTTCTCAACTAGAGTAAATGGCTCCTCATCCTCTAACTTAGTCTCTTTAGGTGTGCCAGTATGTGATGTTTGTACAGTTTTAGCTGCTGTTTGTGTGTCAGTCCGTAAAATAGCTGTCATTCTAATCAGATCCTCTTTCATGTCTGCTACATCTTTCAGTATTTCCTGGTTGGAAGCTGCAGTTGGATGGATGATGGGCGGTGTGATAAACGGAGGGGATTTCAATTGGGACTTTATTTTTGATGCAGTGATACAGGAAGACAAAGAGGAAGAAGATGAGGTTGAGACACGAGGAGAATCAGGCAGTGCCATTTTAAAAGACCCTGGCCCTGGTTTGAGGGGGGTCTCTGGAATGACGTTGACCAGTGAATACACAGGCACAGTCATCGTATTAGTTGAAACTGCTGAGCTGGAGGAGGCAGCTCCAGATCTCAGAGAACCATAGGCAGAGCTTGCTGTTGCAGATCTATGTGTGGAGGACAGTGATTTAAGTGTGTCAAAGCTCGAGACGGCGTACGAGTCTATAGCTTCATTTATGGCTGCACTGACACTGGAAGTTGCTGCCTGTGTGGTGGCCTGGATCCTCTCCTGAAGACTGATACTTCTTTCTGAGAGGAGGCGAGGAGAAGGAGAGGATGGTGTAGAGGAGGAGGATGAATATTTAACAGGCAAGACTGATCCATTCATCATAGACAGTTCTGAGGAAGGAATGGTTGTCTGCCCAGTTGAGGAAAGAGACGAGAGGGATGCCCTCCCTCCCCGGGATGAGAGAGTTGAGTCTACAGAGGTTTTCAAAGAGGACAGGCTGGAGATGCTTTTAACCGAAGGAAGGTTAGATGCTCCAGTATCTGTCTCAACCGTGGGCACAAGTGCAGTTTTAAAGGACAGATTAGCATTATACATATTGTAAGGTGTCTTTGGTGATGCTGGAGCAGTAATAGGAACTGATGACCTTTCTGGCACAGAACCATTGGGTACTGAATGAAGTGGGGAAGTCCTTGATGTGTATGCTGACGCAAGGCTTTTGATAGATGCTGGATCAGTGGCAGGTTTACACGGGCTTCCAGAGGACATAAGGCTGGCAGACCCTTGGACAGCGTACTGGCCCTGTTGAACTACAGTTTTAATGGGTGAAGTCCTATACGACCTGATGGGGGATGATGACACCATGTCACTGGCTGATTTCACTGAGGATGACAGGGTTGGTGCTGGTGGTGGAACTCCTAGGGTGACTCTTATAGGTGCAGAACATGCAGGTGATGGGGAAGAGAGGGGCCATGTAGATTTCAATGGAGAAGCAGCTGGTGAGCCTGCCGGTGAATCGGTAGAGGCGAGGGAACCCCCCAGTCCAATGGGCCTTGTTTGGCCAGGGACGGTAAGAGGAGCAGTCGACCATGGTGGGTAAGTTCTGGTTGGAAAGACAGGTTTGTGAGAGTAACCAGCAGGCAGTGTTCTTGCTGCTGCACTTCGCTCAACTGTTGTTTCTGCAGATGAATTTGTAAAAAAAAAAAAAAAAAAAAAAAAAAAAAAACAAGGAGGGAAGGA